GTCCGTGCCTGTTGCCTGCGCCACTTCTTTACTACAAAAAGAGCAGAGAGTACAAGCGCATCCAGGCCAACTCAAATACGACGACGTCATGCCCAACGTCTCCGATATACCCTCCATGCTGACTTCTATCCGCCACCCCCGACGGAGAGCCATCTCGATAGGCCCGCAGTCCGAAGCGGATGCATACGAGGCAATAGCATACCGCCAGCAACGCCGACGGACCAGTGCGGCCTCGGAGAACCCCCGGCCATCCTCTCCGCTGCGGGAGAAGGGTGGCAACGCAAAGAGCCAGAGCCAACAGCCTGTCACGCGCTCCAAACGGGCTACCTCTAACGTTTCTGACACGCAGTCTCCGTCAAGGAGTCTTCACGATTATGAGAATATGATGGGATCAGGGGCACAGATTTATGAACAGGGAAATACAAAGAGTGCCGATACTCTTACTAATGGGACTGTAACGAATGACGAAGAAGACGAGAAGGATATGTTCTCAAAGATCACCCGGCCTAGAGTACGGTATGATGTAGAAGTTGTCACGAAGCTGATTGTTTATTCCGGTAAGTCCAGTCTCAAAGTCTCTTCCCCGGACGACTCGGCACAGGCGTGAATGCTGACTATGACAAGGTATCGGGCTGATTGCGGTTGAAGCCAGCCCAATACTCTTCCACCTGCTGGGTCTCGACTAAACATATACTCTTTATACACTATTCTTTTAAGTATCATAATAGAACCTAAGATATATTCTTTATTCTTTCAACTCTACTTTGTTTTCTTTGCTCTGTAGTCAACACAAAGATAAGCGCTCATGACTAAGTACGCGCCTAGAGCACGTGACTTTCCTAAAAAAGGCTGTGCAGGGTTCATCTTTGTTTCCTCTCCGCCTACAACCACGCGTTTATTACCTCATTAGGGAACTTCCGCTGCCTCAAAACTTCCCATGATAGCCGCGGTCAAGCAGTTTTTCTCTTTCTTTCTCTTTTTCCGCGCGCTTTCCCCTCCTTTTCTTTTTCCCGCGCATCTCCCAGCCGTCTTCTTCTTTTTCTTCTGTCTCTTCTGCTTCTTCTCCAGCCTGGTAATAGTAATACTCTTAATGCGCGTCTTTGGAGTTTCCCCTTTTTTCTCTAGCAAGCAACGGATCTGCCAGAACATATATCACAGCGTTGCATCGTTTCTTAGCATACCCAGTATACCCGCCATACCCGGCCATCAGAGCCTCAGTAGACTGTTCATCTGGAGACTGCCTAGAGGGCGCATCCGTATCTTTGAGAGGAGTGGCCGGTCTACTTCTACTACATCTATATCCGCATCTACATCACTCTCTACTTCTCTTGAGTCCGGATTGCCCTCGTCTGCTTCTTGTGATATTTCTAGTAGCAAGAAGAGTAATTCCTCCCTCCATCGTAAGTGTGTCTTGGTTTCTACCTCTCTCTCTCTCTCTCTCTCCGTTTGATATCCCATCTCCATAGCAACATGGCCGGACTTCTTCTCACCTCACTTGCTCGCTTATATCACACACAAGGACGCGCTTTCTCTCACTTCTCAATATCATAACAATAACAACTTTTTCTCTCTCCTCTTCTCCCATTTTTCCTCCTTCTTCTCTTC